GTGTTGGCCTCAAACACACCACAGGTTAGCACATTAAAAAGGGATAGCAGTATTACCTAACTGTTATTGAATGGTATTTTTATTTGCGCAGTTGTTGTGTATGCAGTTTAGTTTTAATGTCAATGTAATGTAGTCTAGATTGCATATAAGATACTTTAGGCGATTAGTGCAATACTTACTGATGGCTAAAAATTTATACTAACAGTCAAAAGAAACGGCTTCCATCAATACGAAAAATAAGATAATTTCAAAATCACACCATAATGGAAAAAAAAATGAAAGAATAAAATTTTGCTCTTTTTCTGAAACAATCGAGATCAATAATAATCTCTCATTCGTCTGGCGTACATGTAATGTATTGAAAAACAAGTGGGTAAACTCGACTAACGGCTCGGAAAATTGACAATTTGCCAGCAAAATTGAGAACACTCTCTATTCAATCAGCCTTCCTTGAGCCCCGATAGATTCAAGCTACTGTCCTCCGTGCCAGGACAACGATATACTGGGTTTTCCCTTTGATTTTACTGAGTTCGATCTCGCATTAAACACCCGAAAAAATGAGTCGTCATCGGGAAAAGACGACATAGATTATGTATAGATTATAGATTATGTTACTAAAAAAGATGCCCGTCACACTCAAATTGATCCTCCTAGACATTTGTAATGAGAATGTACAGCAGCGCTGACTATCCATGGGACTGGAATACACAATTTATTCATTTCATTCCTAAGGGTGATGGAGTTGATGTACATCGAATTGCCTTCGTGTGTAGGAAAATTGTTCAAAACTATTGTGAAGAATCGTCTTCAATGGTGGGTAGAACACAAGAATTTCATGCCTGAGTCTCAGAGTGGTTTTCGAAAAGGCCGATCGTGTTATGACAATTTGACACATCTCTCATTATGAACAGAATTAAATCTATTGAGATAACGTGAGACGATAGCGGTATTTCTTGATATTAACTCCGCCTTTGACACTGTTTACCTAAAGATATTATTAGGCAAACTAGCGAACATGAGGTGTCCTGCTAATCTCGTGAGATTTTTCAAATCCATCTCATACGAAAGGAATATTACCTCCTTATTCAATAATGAACCTAGAAAAGTATATAAAGGAGTACTTCAAGAAGGGGTACTTCCACCCCTATTATATGTCATCTATGTTGATAATATTCCCTCGGAAGAGGGAAGTTTATAGTCTCGCAATTTGCTGATGACATTGGTGTCTATGCCAGTTTTTCTTCACTCACTCAAAGTATTAGTATAATGGAGAGTGCGATTGAGACGCTAAAAAATAATTTAGACTCTATTGATCTGATCTCCACAAAAAACATTATTAGTCGACTTTAATAAAAAAAAAGCAACCAATCACTAATATAGCTCTTATAATTGAAGGTTACAAAATTGAATGCAATCAATCTGCCCGACCTCTTCTTTTGATTCTCGATTCCAAATTATCGTTTAAACACCACTTGTTTAAAGTACAAGGCTTAGCTCTCACGGCGTGAAACATTATAAAGTTTATAAGGGGCACGTGCACGGAGGCTGATCCTGAGACTCTCATCATGCTTTATAAATCATTCGTGCGTCCGATAATTGACTAGGGCTTGTCCTTATACTATCCTGGCCGAAAAATTAACAACTAAGAATGAGAACGAATACAGCATGCTGCCATGAGATGTTGTATGGAATATAGAATATCAACTCCCGTTAACATCCTAATGGCTGAAAGCAAACTCACCACTATTAAGGACAGAGCTTCATTTCTCTGTAAAACCTATCTAATGAAAGTGTTCTGAAATACCGATATCCAGGTCTCAACCACCATTGGCTAATCAATTGCTCAAATTAATTCCTCTACATCACGATAGTAAAATCTAGATAGTAAGAGCTGCTTCAATATTCATAATTGTGAGTACCGTACCGCCCTTAACTCAATACCACTAGATGTAGGACTTGAAAAAACTATTATAACTTATGCTGCTCAAATCAAACAAATTCATATTAGATGTTACGATAAACTACGAACAAATTGTACGGCACAACAATTAGGCATTAAAATTAGTCTGGATTCTTTCCCATTTGAGGGTGGACGGTAATGAAGCAGCTGATCGGCTGGCGAGGAATGCCACCAATCACGGCAGTGATCAAGCCCATCAACTCCCTCTCACTGATTCCCGTGAGGAGTTCACGCTGGAATAATTTGACAGAACTTGCAACCTGGCTCTTGGACTTGGGCAAACTAAAGGAACGACTTATTTTAAATACTTCCACACTAGAAGAAGAAAACCATGTTTCAAGGAGAAAAAGTTGACTCGGAAAATCATATCGTGGGTAAATAGAGCCAGGGCCAACCATCATAGTCTAGAGGAATCACTGGCGCGAGTTGCTATCATCAGCTCACCAAACTGTACATGTGGGTACGGAGAGGAAAATATTGAACATGTCTTGTGGGAGTGTCAATTGTACAATAACTCCAGAGAAATAATCGTTAAAAAATTATACGACCAAAATTTTTTTCCACGATACTGTGCTGGAGAATTTTTGGCTACACTAGACAAGAAATCCATTGTGATCATTCATGAATTCCTAGATCGATATTCGATAAAAAACTAAAATCATTGTAACCTAGGTTCTAAGAATGCAAATTTGATACTCTATCGTTTGTATGCAAATTAAATCTACAAGGTGTAAACACACTTAATTAAAAAAAAAATGAAAAAAATCAGTGGTTATCGGAATTATTATTTTGATGAGTATCTAAAAATCGTGGTGCACTTATCGCCATTCATATTACAGGACGCTCTACTTTTGTAATATGCTGCGATCCTTTAATTTCTTCATAATTGCATTGTTACATAACGGCAATAGAATAATTTGAAATATATTATTTGCTCTAAAAGCGAAGTTTGTCTGTCCCTATATCTTAGCACATTTGGAGAAGTTATCATCGTTTTTAAAAGAAATCCTAGAATCTTCTATTGTCGATTGCAAATTTTAGGATTCACACAATGGAAGTTTGATCAAGTAATCAAGCCGTAAGATCCAATGATAAGATTTTTTTTTCACTATTAATATACCATCTTCTTAGAATGAAAATAAAACATCGAAAATATTCTGGCCATATGCTGGTCCAATTTTTCTTTGAAACCTGTGGCTACTAATAATATATATTTTTCCAGTTATAGTACGCTCTATAAGAAAGAAATTCAATCCTGGCAAAATAAACTTGGTAACACTGCCGAAATATTGGCGAAGTGGTTATTAGTTCAAAATTTATGGGCTTACCTAGAAGCAGTTTTTATTGGAGGTGATATTGCTAAACAACTTCCAGCCGAAGCAAAACGTTTCAGTGTAAGTCCTTATTTTTTCTCTGTGAACCTTGAATTTTTT